TCCCTACTGTTAGCTTAGGATTCAGTGTTTTCAGGGCTGCTAAGTAATCCATCCACTATCCAAAGTTGTGTTGCTATTGTCACCTTTTCTGTTTTCCTCCGTCCTTGTGGACTTATGTCTTAAAAAAAAATCCCTTTACCGTGCTTTTGGTGGTGTTTCAGGAGGGAGCAGAATTGGATGCCTGTATTTAATCCGCTCACTCACTCTTCAGCTCACACTGTCTTGATTTCTTCCCCCATATCTTCCACTGATACTGCTCAAGCTAATCTCCCCAGTGACCTCTGGCTTTTAAAGTTAATATACCTTTTTTTTTTTTAAGTTTTCATCTTACAGTGCCAGCATTTGACAGAGCTGACCATTCCTTTCTTGAAATGTATCTAATCTTCCCTTCTTTGGAACCATGGAAAAAAACACAGCTTTATTGTGATATAATTCACATACCATAAAATTCCCCTTTTAAAGAATTTTTAGTGTATTCACAAGGTTGTCCCACCATCGCCACTATCTAGTTCCAGAGCATTTTATCGTCCCCCAAAGAAGCCCTGTACCCATGAGCAGTCATTCCCATCCCTCACTCTCTCAGCTCCTGGAAATCACTAATCTACTTTCTATTTCTATGGGTTTGCCTATTCTGGACATTTCATATAAATGGAATCATACAATATACGGTCTTTCATGCCTGGCTTCCACTTAGCATAATGTAAAACTGCTTTTTGCTGCTTAAGACCATCTCCGCTTCCTGACCTCGTCCCCTCCCAGTGCTGCAGGCTTTTGCGTTAGATTCTCTTCCCTTCTCCTTTACTGCCCTCTAGGTGATCTTAGCTGCTCCCCTAACTTGGAATACCACATGCGCCAATGGCTCCCAAAGCATGTCTCTCACCCTGACCTCTTCCCTGAGTCCAGACTCATACAGCCACTTGCTGACTTGGAGTCTTTACCTCGAGGCTAACAGGCATCCCAAACTGATCATGTCCAGAACAGAATTAAGTTTTCATTTTGAGCCAAACCTAGTTCTCCTCTAGTTGACCTAATTTTAAAAAATGATACTACTATCCTCCAGTTGTTCAAGTGAAAAACTTCATACAGTGTGTAAGTGTATATTTATCTGTGTAATTATTCGTTTTAGTTCTGAGTCCCTCACTAGTCTGTAAGCTCCATGAAGGCAGGGGCAGTGCTTTTTTGGTTCACCATTGTATACCCAGTACTTAGCACAGTGCCCAGCATTTAACAGGTAAGCAAAAAATATTTGTTGAATGAATGAATGAATACAAAAAAGAAATAATTTTTTGTTTTGTTTTGTTTTGTTTTTATACTGCAGGTTCTTATTAGTCATCAATTTTATACACATCAGTGTATACATGTCAATACCAATCGCCCAATTCAGCACACCACCATCCCCACCCCACCACAGTTTTGCCCCCTTGGTGTCCATGTGTAAGACATAATTCTTGCTCTCAAGTTGTCTACAATTTTATTAGAGAAGTCAGATGTCCATGTGTATTGTTAAAGACTATAAAAAAAAGTACAAAATTAAGCATCAAAGTAAGTAGTAAAACTTTAGGAGTTTAGAGGCAGGATGATTAGGGAAAACTGCATGGAAACAGTGGGGACGGGTAAGTTTTAGATAGGTGAAGGTGAACATGAGCATAATAGCAAGCAAAGGCCTTGAGTGGAACTTGAGTTGTTTAGGGGATGGTGGGGAGACCACTGTAGCTTCAGAAACCATTTCAGAAAACAAGCCCTTCACTTTGGATCATTTGATGAATAGATTTATTGGGAGGTAAAGCACACAGTAATACGTTGTAGGAAGAGGTGCAGTACTACAGCAAATGAAAAGAACGCTAGCAGCCACACTGACAGATAACCGAAGGAATCAGGTGTTTTATAGTTAGTCTTTTATTTGGGCATCAGTGTAGACAGAATTTTATTAAATGCAAACTTTTGGCATACAAATAATCAGAAAAATTTAAACAATCTGATTTTGAAAATTTTCTTTGCAGTTGAAGAGCTCACTCATTATGCTTCAGAGAACCTTTGATCTACTAAATAAGAACAAGACAGGCATGGCTGTCCAAAGCTAGTGATCTTAAGGACCAAAATTATAGAGATATGTGGAACCAAAAGAAAACGTCTTGAAGAAAACTAGAGGGTGAAGGATTTGAATTGTCACAGGAACATTTCCATATTTTCTCATTATTTGTACTTCTAATATGAACGTTCTTTTTAATAACATTTATTGGAGAATTAGTCTCTGATGGCCTTAGGAATCCATCCTTTCATTTCTTATACATAATTCTAAGCTGTGAATTTCTCCAGTGGAGTGTGAAATATATTGTGGATTTGAATTTCTATGATACAAAAAGAAAATGAGACATTCTGAACTGAGTGGTATGGCCTCATTTTCACAGTGAAGTTTGAAGTTTGACGCTTTATCTGTTAGTACAGGATCAGTATGTGTCCAATAGGCTGCTTTCACAGTTGAGATACATTCAAGAGGATAAAGAAGACAATATAAGAAGAAATCTCTAAATCATTACTAACTTTGAAGGATCAGTTTTCAGGCATCTATTATAACATTTATAGATTCTTGTACTGTAAATATTATCAGTACAATGTCTTCATTTATTTAGCATGGAAATTCAGTAGTCAAACCTTTTGAATCTGCATGTTGATGATTATTATCTGAAAGGTTCTTCAGCCATGTGGTATCTTTATGAAAGAAGTAGGTGTTTCTTCAGGTGGCTCTCAGAGGTGAGATTATCTTGCTCTTCATACATTATATGGCAGAAGAGTCAATTTTGGAAAAGGAAGCATGTAGGATACCATCTCTCAAAATGAAGAACCATGCTCTGAGTTTTAAAAACTAGAAGATTATGTTAAAATCTGGGCATTTTAGTGACAGATCAAATGAATACTTGAACTAAGCTTGGCTTTAGCTTAGCAGACTTTCATGGTGGAAGTTGAAAGTATTATAATTTGTGGACTACTTTTCAGTAGCCACGTATGGCTTCATTTACTCATTCACATGTGTGGCTATAGTCAGTCAGTTGTAAGCCAGACACAAACTTTAGCTCTTTAAGAAAGACTTTGGGGGGCATTATCTCCCAATATAAGTGCACTGACAAGTTGTAAATCAGACATGAGCTTTGGCTCTTCATTAAAAGTTTTTAGGCGTATGTGTCTCAATACAAGTGATGTCTCTGGAACAAGAGAAGGACAGTGCAGAATAATTTGTATATATTCTTACTGCTTGAATAACAATTGCCTTTAGTTAGATGTCTCTTTTTTGCCCAGTCACCCAAGCCACATGGGATTGCTAAAGTCATTTTCGAGATGCCCATAGAGAATGAAATTATTGAGTGGATTAGAGGAAAAATGGGTTTCTCTGGGGGAATCTCAACTAACCTACCTTGGGATACCAGTGTAACTTCCTGGAGGTTTTTTGATAAGGATTTATGATGTGTCTGACTGAGCAAAAGTGACCGGATTGTAAACTTGAAACCTTGTTCTCTGTTAATTTCACAAAAATGGTCACTGACAAGCTGAGTATTTTTGTGATATTTCTTTAAAACCTGTACTTCATAAAATACCTCAAAGAAAGTTACCAAAGTTAAGTTGCTTTATAAATTACAACTAAATATGTCTGCATTCAATTAATTGTATTTGAGCCTATGTAAATCGAATATCAATAAAACCCCAAATCTCAGAGTTGTTTTCCTTCTTTTTCGGTCAAACCCTCCCCAAACTAGAAAGCCTGTTTCTGTGAAAACGTATACATGGGCCTACACCCTTTTAAAAAAAAATTTTGTGCAAAAGTGAAGCCCAAAGAGGACTCTCATCTTAGGGCAGTTTCATTTCAAATATGCAGCTTTCTGGAGCAAGAGTACTAGATAGGCCTGCTGGTCTCATGTAGAGACTGCTGGCCAGAAATCATGAAAATGAACAAGTTGGATAATTAACAGATCAGGGACAGTGACCTGGGCCTTTAAGAGAAGGTTAGCGAATTTGGGGGCGGTACGTCGGTAACATTTTGCCGTGGAGATCTCCCCCAACGCCTGTTGCTGGCGCCTGAACGAAGACCTGCTGACCCACGCGTCTCACGTATTTAGGAAACTCTCAGGGGTCCAGGTTTCCCGTATTTCCGCCTTCGCCGACCCGAAGGCTCGGGAGGCTGCCCTGCCCTCGCGGCGCCCGCAGGCACCCGCGGGGCCGGGCGGGGGCCGGGCGGCCGCCTCTGGGGCGGGGCGGAGGTGTGGGTCAGCGCGGCGCCTAACCGCCTGGACCCGCTGCAGGAGCCCGGCCTTCGCTCCTCCGCTCCCCCGGGCGCCAGGGCCGCGGGCCGGGGGAGGGGCCTCGCCGGAGGGCTCCGCACGTGCGGGCGGGGGATGCCCGGCGCCGGGGGCGGGGCACCCGGAAGGGTGGGCGCACTGCCCCAGCGGCGGCCGGCTGTGGTCACAGGTGGGCGGCGGCGGAGAGGGCGCGGCGGAGAACGGAGCCGGGGTCCCTGAGACTCCAGCCATCGCGCCGGGAGCCCCGTGGAGCAGAGATCGGCAGACGCGTCCGCGCCTCGGGAGGAGCCGGCCCTTCTCCTCTTCGCCTCGGCTTCTTTGACTGCAGCTGCACCTCGGCCCGGGAGCGCAGGTAACTTCCCTCCCAAGGTCATTCTTCGGGCTGGGCGGTGTTCTCGGCCCACCCACGTCCTCACGATTGGCCGGGGCGGGAGAGGCGCGCCCACCTCGCGGCGGAGAAGTGGGTCTGGACGGCGACCCTGAGCGCTGCCCGGGCGCCGGGTGGCCTCTCCAGAGCCGGGTAGTCGACCCCAGTGGATACATGCTTTGTCTCCTCCCGCAGCTCCGAGGGTGTTTCCACCCTCACCCTGGCTTCGGGCGGGGACAGCCCGGCCCTCCCCAGCCCGCACCCGCAGGTGAGTGCAGCCACCCATGCCCCGGCTGTCCCGGGCCGCGTAGTAGGCTGTCGTCATGGGAACGGCTAGCGCCCAGGCGGCGCCTGTCCTGGATGGGGACCTGGCGGTGAAGGCGCTTGGAGACCTTAGAGCCCTAGAGCTTTGTGTGTGGCCACGCCGAGCCAGTAAAGCCTGATGAAAGGGGGACCACCTCCCCCTCTTCTCATTTTTGATTTCTCAGGCGTTGGTGGTTAATCAGGGATAGGCTTGGATGTGCTTACAAGATGTGAGTTGTGTTCTTTCCACTTTACTTCCTGAGGGCTTCTTATGCCTCATGGTGACAGGTGGAAATCATGACCAAGAAGGGCAGTATGAAGCCAGGGAAGAAAAACAAAGTGGAAGAACCTGAACTGGAGCCCCTGTGCTGCTGCGAGTACCTAGATCGAAATGGGGAAAAGAACCACGTGGCTGCTTGTTTGTGTGATTGCCAAGATCTGGATGAAGGGTGTGATAGGTAAGAGCTGTGTGTTTCTTGATGCTGATCCCTCCAGCCCTTTTGAGAACTACCATGTATACTTTCAGCTTAGCCATCCAGAACACTAGAATTTGCTCTTCATTCTATTTCCACTTATCTCCAACTGAAAGTTGTCTTTTATGTCAAGTGTGAGGACTTTATAAAGATGAATTATTACTCAGTAGTGCACAACTGTCTGTTCAGCTCAGTTTACCAGGACATTATTATTTCTAATTTAAAGGGAGGAGGTGACAGAGAGAACAGGCAGGTAAAGGGATAGTTGGCAAGTTAAACACATTAAAAAAAAATAAAATGCAGGCCAGGAGAATCTGTAAGTTTAAAATGAACACATTAGTACCAGAAAGTTCCTACAATTCTCAGTGGTCTCAGCATTCAGAGACTGACATCTTGGGACTGGATTGCACTTGGCCACACAGGGCCTTGAGGGTTGAAAAATCATTTTTCTGCTCTTGGAATTGGTTTCACCCCTTGTTTCTGGGGAGGAAATCCAGCCAGAAGGCATGTGCCTCCCCAGGACTGGCTGTTTTCAGCATGAGCAGCAGCACAGTCCTGATTGATGCTATTGTATTTGGCTTTTATTTTCACCATTATCCCAAGTGATGGAAATTAACTATCCAAAGAGATGATTTATAACATCACTGAAAAAAATTTTGTGCCAAGCAGTAATAACCTGGTTTTTATCCATTTTCTAAATAATTATATATTTAAAAATTATCACATGGAAAGCATAATGTGGGGAGAAAACAGATGGTGGAAACTTGCTTTTCCCATCAATAATGCCTTCTGGTTAAAAAAAGTCATTGCAGTGGCACATTGCTGATTTGGTATGCTGCTTGGTATGTTAATCTCGCCATGAGAAGCGTTCTTGGGGACTACTGTAGTCTAGTATCCCATAATCCCTTTGTAATTCTTCCTTGACAGTGTCAATAGTCTCTTACAGGTGTCTTTAAATGTAGGTTCTTTAGTCTTAGTCTAAAATCCATACTGAGAAAGTAGAACACTTTGGAGTAATGAATGGAGAAATGATGCCTTTTCTGTAACCTCCATCACTCAAGACCACAGCTCTTCCATTGGCCTTCTAACTCTTCCTCCCTCCCAGCCCTTGAGACCTGGGCTGTCCCTGAGTTTTATTCTCTCCAGACCCTTCTGGATGAGATGGGCTCCCAGCATTTCTACAGACCCGCAGCTCTGTATGCCTCCCGTATAGTTAATTCCCGTTCACTTCCAAGTCTAGCCCTATTTTTTAAAATTCTAAATTTTTTTTAAATTCTAAATTTCTAAAACCAATGTTATCCTTCCTTAAACTGTTCCTTTCCATAATAGCCTAAGTATGCAAAAAAGTCAACGGTACTACCTGTCCACCAAGATCAGTCATTTGACTTGTACTAGTTTGACCTCCACGCTTCCTTATGCAGCCCCCTGCCCTACTGAACTGGTTTACTCCCCCGGCCCAGGACAGGTTTTGTGCTGCACATGCATCTCTCCACTGGAACGCCTCCTTGCCTTCCTCTCCACCCACAGGAATACTAGCCAGCTGTCAAGGTCGAGCACAAATCCCTCTTTTTCCACAAAGACCCCTGTGATGACTCCACCCAGAAGTGTGTCCTCTCCTCTGAGCACTCACACCTTACCGTGTTTGACTGTAATAGTTCACTGGGTGATTTTGCTACTTTGTCACTTATCTAATATTTCTTGAATTCCCATGTTGTCTTCACAACTAGATGGTGAATTTTTTTGAGATTTTTATGTCTCTACACCCACCCCAGTCTGAACAGGACTTATGTGGAATACGTGTGTATTCTTGTGTATTTGTTTCGTGGAGAAATAGTTCTGTTAAATATCTGAACATTTTGTCATTCGTATTAAAAAATTATACATGAATCTGAAGAGCTCGTGTTTAATAGCAAGGAAGTAGAATGCTTGGTCTTTGGCATCTTTTAGCATTTCTCCTGCTGTCTGGCCTACAGTGTTGAGTGGTTTTTAATTCAACAAACACGTCGGAGGTGCCTTCTCTGTGCTCTCTCTGAACAGATGGATCACGTGCAAGTCCGTGCAGCCTGAGACCTATGAAAGGATCATGGATACGATCTCTGACCGCCTCCGGATTCCTTGGCTTAGGGGAGCCAGGAAAGTTAACATTAGCCTCCTTCCCCCCCTCTTCCTGCTGCCTGTCTTCCTCCGAGTGGCTTCGTGGCATTTCCTCCTGGGGGTGGTGGTTTTGACCTCCCTCCCTGTGCTGGCTCTGTGGTACTACTACCTCACTCACAGAAGGAAAGAACAGACTCTGTTTTTCCTGAGCCTCGGACTGTTCTCTCTGGGCTACATGTACTACGTGTTCCTGCAGGAGGTGGTCCCCAGGGGGCGTGTAGGGCCCACTCAGCTGGCTCTGCTTACCTGCGGGTTACTTCTCATACTCTTAGCCTTGTGCCGAGCCAAGAAGGATCCAGGCTACCTCAGAAACCCAGCAAACGATGACAGATCTCTAAGCGGCAGCCAAACCGAATACCTGAACAGAACAGGTCTGGAGAAGCCCAAAGGGTTCCCGGGCGCAGACCCAGCGGGCGGTCTCAACAACCGCGCGCCCAAGGATGAGCCTAAGGGCTGCCCCAGGACGTCGGCCGGAAGCCCCGCCACGGGGAAGGAGGACTGGTGTGCCAAGTGCCGGCTGGTGCGGCCGGCCCGGGCCTGGCACTGCCGGATCTGCGGCGTCTGTGTGAGGAGGATGGATCATCACTGCGTCTGGTATGTTGGAACAATCTGGAGGCTTGCGGAGGGTGCATTCACGTGAGACTCCAGCCGGGTTTGCTCTTCCTTTGTACCATCCTCAAATTTCTCTCCTTCCCAGCTTTACACCTTGGAGATATTTGTGGGCTGTTATGATGTTCCCACTTAGTCATCAGTTTTTTGAGCTTCACAAATTTAGTTCTTTTCAGTCATTTCCGGAAGGTGTTTTTTTTCCCCCCGCTTTCTCTTTTGAGCTGCTCCTCATCTTCTCCTTTCGAAGAGAGAAGTATCTGCAGTTGAATGACTTTTTAAAAAAGAATGTATCAGACATAGTATAGGCACATCCCCCTGTGCTCACAGAGCTCAAGAAAGTGTTCCTGTACTTTTAGGTGACTCTTACCCTCTGACCATGTATCCATCATCATTTTGATGCTACCAGTGATTTCTAGTTGATATTATTGACTTAAGGCCCTGCCAGATAACTCCCTCTTTGGTTAGTGGTGCAGAAATGGGCTTTTTGGGTACCTCTTTGCTGGCCAGTGACAAACGAGGACACCTGACGACACCCGTAACGTGTGCGGTGCAACTTTTAAAGAAAATGTTGCAGCTTTACTGAATAAATCTTAAACTAAAGGAGCGTGATTAATTCAGATATGAATGCTGTAAGTAGCATGTTTGCAACTTGCTCTTCAGGCAGTCATGGTCAGTGAAGTATGCCTTTTATCTAGGATTCTGATCATGTCACAGTCTCCCCCTCAGAAGGGGACATGGGACAGGGTGAGGGTGCAGACAGCCCTGGAGGACACAGGAGCAGACCTTAAGTTCAAGGCTCATGAACAGGGACAGCTCTTTTCTGGGGCTTTGTCTTTAGGAGTAAGCAAGTATTTTCATTTTTAGGTTTTCCTTTTCTCTTGTCTTCATCATTTATTATCGTGCATACCTGGGTGTGTGCGTGCATGTGTGCAGGGTGGTGGCCCATTTACAAGCGTTGGTTTGCAGAGGTCCTGACAGCCTCGCCTGTGAGATCTCTGCCTGCTGGAGCATCCTGGTGTGCCTGTCATCCTGCCCTGCAAATGGCCATGACATGGAACTCTGTACCTGACAAGTAGTCTGCATACTGTTGAGTTCTCTACCCCACACTGTGCTTCTAACCTCTTGGGATCTTTTATTAATATGTATATGTAATACATGTTTTCCCACATTGTATAATACTTCTGATTTAGCATTTTTAAGTTTTTATAACTGATACCATCCTATCCTTATGGTGGTGATTACAGTGTTAACTCTCTTAACATTGGGTAACAGACTTGGGTAACAGACTTCACTTATTAATACCTAGAAAGATTTGTTAGCCAGGTTCTGCTTTTTTACTTAGTCTTGTCCTTAAGCTAATGATATGATTTCACCTTGCAAAGAGCGGAGAATATAAGACTACATCTCTCAGCAGACAAGTTTTTAATTCCCTAAAACTGAAAAACAAGAGAACTTATTTTTTAATAACTGAAATTCACACTGTCTCTGTTTTAAAAGCTTTCTTGTTCATTGAGCTATTAGAGAACTTTTTAAAACATGTTTGCTTTCTCCCCCTCTGTGCTGTTTGGAGGATAAATAGCTGTGTCGGAGAATCAAATCATCAAGCATTTATGCTTGCCCTTCTGGTCTTCCTCCTCACCTCGGTGTACGGGATAGCGCTGACCTTGGACACCATTTGTACGGATAGAAGTGTCTTCACAGCTCTTTTCTATTGCCCTGGAGTTTATGCAAATTACAGGTGAGACATGGATACCCCATACGGGGCCCCACGGAAGGGGGAGTGGATTTGCAGTGAAAGTACGGGGCTGTGATTCAATGCTAGGTTAGGGGTTCTCACCCAAAACACAGGACAGGTTCTGGGGATGCTGGGTATCCCTGAAATTGCCAACACACAGTTGTGCAGTGGATACGTGCATTTTTCTGGGTGATGTCACAAGGAACTTTGACCTTAAAAAGTGAGGAACCAGTGCTCTACAAGTAGGACTAGGCTTACTCAGGGACTTCAGAGTCAAACGACCACTAGCATGCCCAAGGTAGCCACAGTGAAACTGAAATGATAACTAAAGTAGCAGTCTCTGGGTATGGATGTGGTCTCTTTTGTCGCTCGTTATTGGGGAAATTCTCACTTTATTGCTGTTTTCTGGTGCTTTGTAGCCCAGTCTTAATTTACCGCTTCTGACCCTTTCGTGAAATGCTTACAATCTCTGTAACCTTTCTTTTCTATTTAACCTCCATTGATTTTTTCCTGTTCTACTTTTTTTTTTTTTTTTTTTTAAATCACCACTCATGATTACTGTGGTATCTAGGTCAGAATTTCCTTCAGTGTTTTTAGGTTGGGGCCCATTTATACAGTGTGATGATCTCCGTGCTGTAGCAGAAGTGGGAACTTTTTAGTTTTGGCCCAATCCCCTGCCCACCCTGTCCCCGAAAGCTCTGCTTGAGGACATTTATCACAACCCACTAAGAATAGTAGTCACTGAAGGATTTCACAACCTATGAAGACTCTCAACACAGAGAAGACAGGAACTTAACCTGCGGAGGAGGGCCCATCTGTTCTAATGCCCACGAATGTCTAGCTCTGCAGTGGCGAGGGGGAGATCTGTCCACAGACTGGTACAGACAAGGGCCCGCACAGGGGTGCTATGTGGACAAAGCAGGGAGTGTCTGGAAAACAAAGAGCGAGAAGAAAGCAGAGGCCCTTGGGGGTCGTTTTGTCTGTATGTTGGTAAGCATGAGTTTTCTAGGCTTTCTGTGGGCCCCGTAAATGAAATGAGGAACACAGTCCTGCTGCTGTGTTCTCAGTGCTATGGACCCACGATTCATGTCTCCTCACTGGGCCTCAGTTTTCCTCATCTTTGTGGCGATTTAATCATCCCTGAGGTCCCTTTCAGCTTAACAGATGAAGATTCTGAATGAATTTCCTGCTAACTCACGTGCAGATGTTTCAAAATAATCACTTGGCAGACGTTAATTGGCAGCCTCTCCTCACAGCCTTATTAATGAGCTGGAAGCAGCTTTCTTGTCCTGTGTGACCCTGTTTGGTTTTGGAAAGCGGGATTTGAAATGTGACGGTGCTCCTGGCGCTCCTTCAGGGCTGCTGGTGCTGGGAGCTGTCCTCTTACCTGTGCTCGTTGGCCTTGTATGGAAAAGAACGGGAATGAGCAACCTTAGCACTGCTGCTCGGTCCCACCCACAGCTCCCTTGAGGACGTTTACAGCAATCTCACGGCGCCTCCGTTTTCTTCTGCGTTAAGAACAATTTAGGAATTATTCATGCAACAAACAGATCTTGACTGCGGTTGTGTCAGACACTGTTGGCTGTGGGGGACACGAAACACACAAAACAGTCCCTGCTGTTCTAGTATCACATCCTAGAAAAGGAGGCACCAGTAATTATAAGGACATGTTAAGAGTCATAAGTGAAGCAGGTTATTTATTGGCACTCCGAGGAGAGAAAAGTATCTTCCAAGTGGGGTAATCAGGGAAGGGGCCAGCGTCCTTAGGAGTAAGTACTACGTGTGTAAAATGTTACCATGGGGAGAGCTCTCTGAATGTGCAGCATTGGCCGCCCTGACCTGCCTTTTCCTGCTCCCAGCTCAGCTCTGTGCTTCACCTGCGTGTGGTACTCTGTGATCATCATGGGGGGCATGGCCTACATCTTCCTGATCCAGCTGATAAACATCAGCTACAACGTGACGGAGAGGGAAGTGCAGCAGGCCCTTCGACAGAAGACGGGGCGCCGGCTGCTCTGCGGGCTCATCGTGGACACAGGCCAGTACAATCGGGGCTTCCTGCGGAACTGGCACCAGTTCTCCACCCTGGGCACGCACCCCTTCCACCACCCTGCTGAGGACATAGTATGAAGTGCCTTCTGTACGGCTCCGGGGGCGGGAGGGCGTCTCCTCCCTCTGCTCCCTTGCATCCTACACTTCGGTACGCGCAGGATGCTTGTGTTTATCCCCAATTTCTTAAAGGCGTTATAGGGCCATGCTCAGGTTTAGGCACTGGACTGGGAAGAAATTAATTTTTCTGACTTCACAATTTAAGGGATTTTTATATCAAAGCAGTAAAAGTAGAGCCATTCCTTTCCAGTCACCTTACTAACTAACTCAGTCACCAGAAGTTGAAAAGGATGTGGATTGCTAATGCAGAAACTGATAGAAGCAATTGCCACCCATTAGTATGGGAGAAAGAGCTTTGGATTAGGGTAGTTTCTAGTCCCTCTTTCAACTCCTAATAGCCATGCGACCCTTGGTCAGGTCACTTCCCTGAGTCTCAGGTTCATTTGTCAAGTGGGGTACTGATGCTGCCCTGGCTACCTCACAGAGCGGTTGTGCGGGGGGACACGGGAGGGTCACGAGAGGGATGCGGTATGTGGAAAGCACTGAAAAACAACGAAAAACTAAAGCACCAGAGAGGTATGAATTATTATTAGGAGACTCCTAAGACTGGAAAAAATATTTCAGGTCAGAATATTGAAGCCAGTCCATTTTCAGCATTTCAGAGTGAAAAAACAATCCCCAAATACCATATTGTACGGTTATGGGGATTTCTCTTTCTGAAGTATTAGACATTAACTACTTAAACAGGGTAGAAGACAACCAAATGGATTTACGCTGTCATCTGATCTTGAAAGTTGATAATAATTACGAGCCTAATTATTGCTAGTATAATGCACAGTGGTCATGAGTTTAGGTGATGAGTTCTTATATTGATCTTATTTCTTATGGATTTATTCTGTTTGGATTTACTCTAAGTAACTCCAGTAGGCATCAGTGTTTTTTTCCTCTTCCCACGTGTTGCCTGGTCAGGTGCTAGCACACTTGTGACAACGGCTGGACGAGAACAGACACTCCTGTCGGGAAGATTTTACTCTCTTTGTGGGTAGGATGGCTGGTTAATATCAAGAGCTTGACTTTTTTGTTGATGTAAGTAATTCAGGCACTGTCAATAATAGCACTAAGTTGCAAAAACCAGTATTCTGGAGTTCACATTATTCTGGCATGAGCTCTCTTTGAGGGGCTGATTGACGTCTTCCCACTTAATTTGCACATTACTTCTCATTCACCTTTCCCAAGATAAAAGTATCTCACTAGGAGAGAAGAAACAGGGTATATGTGGTTTCCACTAATTAATAGATTACTGTTCTTCCCTGGCTCTTCCTAAATGGTTTCTTTAATCCTACCTCAAAACGGAAAACGTGTAAAGGATTAAATATTTAGCGTGGGTCTATTCTGGCATAGAATTAAGATGAGGCAACTTAACATGGGGAAAAATACCCTCTTGAAATATTTGGTTTTGTGCCTGTGCTTTTTTTTGGAACCCCAAAGAATTCAGGAGCCCTTAAATTTGTTTTGGCTAATAGCTTAATATAGGGAAAATACCGCCAGCTTTTTCAGTCAGTCTTTCTGTGCATGCTGCTGTAGCAAGAGGTTTATAAAGGTCGAGAAGAAATATTGCCACCCTCTGCAGCTGGCACCATCCCTAGTTCTGCCATTAATCGAGTCTGTCCTTAAGACAGGCACCACAGTTTTATACAGGCTTGTCGTTGCTCTTCCCTAGAGATGGATTGTTTACTGAACGATAGGCTCCGTATCCCACTAGGATGAGCCAAAGAGCAAGTCTGGGGATGTTAGCGGAGTCTGTGGTTTGTACAGTGGTACCCTGTCCCTGGTCCAGAATCAAGCATTCATTTGCAATTAACATTGGAGGTGATGTAACGAATTCCTTTCTGTGTGGGTTGGAGATGAGAGAGGGAGAGAGTAATGATGTCAAGGACAGCACATGAGGCCAGAAATCTCTGCTTGTAGTCTCTTGAATGCCAGATGTATAGCCAACTCTGATTGTCTAGCGATTGATAATAAAATTCATAGAAATGTTAGTATAGTCAGTAATCTTGGCCTCTTGCCGAATCTTTAACCACAATCAAAATATGATGCGCTGAAGCTGAGGAGTACCCTAAAGACCAGAGTCATCTGGGAGAATTAGGAATGACCATCATCCTTGTAACAGTGCACCCCTAACAGGGTTACCTGGATGGGGCAACTCACTGTTTCCCTCACTCAGGTAAGAACTCCTTGTATATTATTCTGGCTGATTGGAATTCAGGTGCTCGTTTGAAGTTGAGAACTTCATGGTTGGCAGTTTACAGAAGAAAGCTCAACCCCTTTGAAAAGCTCTGTGGTTCTGCGGAGGTAAAAGCCTACTGAAGTATTTGCACCAAGGCGCTATATACGTGAGCAGTTTCTGTGGACTCTGGGATATCCTTGGTCTCTACTCCTGGACTTTCAACGCTTTTTAGGGTCTGGAGCTATTTGAGGGATTTCGTCCTTTTAAAGGACAAGGCCTCTGGGAACAAATGAGTCCCGGGCGCAAGTGGTGGCAGCGGCTGGGAGGATTGCCCTGCGGACCTGTAACCGCAGTTTCTTGGCCGTAGGAGCAGGGCCGCCCCGACGTATTTCAGATAAGTGCGTCCCCCCGTTTCACCCCACATCCTCAGTTTCTGTTAAACGTACTGGATGCGGAGTTGAGTAAATGATCTGCTGTAGTCTGACCACTTACATTACTCTCATGCCACTGTACACTCTTCCCGGGGGAGAGAAATGGGTCTACTTGAGAGATGTGAGGGAGAAATAGTTGAGGATCAGGATTGCATGAAGGGAGAAAATCCTTCAGTATTTAGAAATGTTTCTTATGCTACCCAAAGAGTACTTTGTGATTATAGCTGGGCACACCTAAGGTGAACTGACCACTGTCAGCGGCCCTTTGGTAGGCTCCTCTGATGCTGCTGAATCAAGCCTGAAGTGTGTTTTGGGGACGCTGGGCTGCTCCTCTCACGTCAGCCACCTGCATGTCTGTTTTTAGGATCCTGTAAATCTTTGCTCTCCAAGTACTGGTGGTCTCCTTTGGTGAATGAAGTAAATGTCTTCCACTGTACCATCTGCCTAGCAGAAAGACTGCTACAAACTTTCTCTTATGCAATAGTCCTTGGTACTTCTAAAATTTTTAGCAAGAGAAAATTTTCGGTAATAGAATCTTCCACTGCCAGAAAACACAGTGCTGGTAAGGTTCTCTGTAATGGTGACCATCTGCTTAATAGACTGTTTCCTTTGGGTAGGACATTAGCTTTTTATTATAAAACGCAACTAATATAAGCAAAAATATGACATCTAGAAGCACAGTTTTAACCAGGATGTTTAAAAATTAATGTTTTGTGAGGTTTAAGCGTCCCGGTAAGCAGGTTTATGTGACTTCATTTTTAGCTATATTTTGGTACCCTGCATTTTAAAAAGGAGCAGTTCCTCAAACAAGCAATGGATGATAGAGACTTTTGCTTGAGGCACCTGTTTGGAATCTGGTTTTCTCATCAGCAGCTTGACAAGTATGCCATTCTGTATTAAACATTGCCAAGGTGATGCAGGGGAAGAACGAGAGCTATGCTTAACTGATTGCTGAATAAAATTCGGTATGCTCTTGTGGATGTTTGTTGTGATTAATATAAACTTTTTGCAAAATCAGCTACATTTAATCCTGTTTCTAATGGACAGTTATCCCCACTTCATTTGGCACTAAGGGTTTCACTGTAGTATCAGCAGCAGGCCAAAGACTGAATGGTTTAGTGGAGACACATTCCTTAGAGGTAGGTTGTGACTGTTTCCGAGATGGGCTTGTGACGTTCCTATCTAGCCTTCCCGATGGCACCATTAACTTCTAGAAGACTCATACTTTAGAAGCAAACCTTTAAAAGCAGAGCTAGTCTATTCTAGTTATCGATGCAACTAAAATCCTCTATTTCTTCACATGGCGCCACTGACAAGATGCCGGGTTACAGAGCTCAGCTTGTCGCGATCCTGTGGTCTAGGTGATTTGCCGGTTGGAGTTGTTGGGGCCTCTGAGCCTTTTCAGCTGATTACATTTCTGGGTCCGATGTTAGACTAGAGGAAAGCCAGGAAAATTTATTTAATATTAAATTTAACGTAACTGATTCAGCAGCGTTAAAGGGGACTTGTGAAGCCAACATTGGACGCGGCGGGCTAAACATTTTGCACTGTTTTTATACTTCTGTTCATATCCTCTTATCACCTCAGACTCAGACACAAGGCCTTTTAAGTGGAGATTTTAAAAATTACTGCCATTTATGTAAAATAACGTACTGTGACCAAGTTGTTTAAATGGAAAATAAAGTGCTTTCTTTAAGGAAAATTGTTGTTGTTTCTTGGTGTGTCTCCTGAACTCTTTTGCTTTAAGAAAAGTGTGCATTAGACCTGGGCTGCCTCTTTGGCTACCTAGATGTCCCCATCCTGTGGACTTAAACCGTCCCTAGCCCTAAACTATTCTTTTCCTTGTGGTTACTTTTCCAGTTTTGTAGGCCAGGGATACTGCTTATTTGGGCATTTTGTCAGCAGTAACACTTTAAATCATATCTTTAAGAGAGTGCAGCAAGAAACGTTAGGTCATTTACTAAGTCACTTACTAAGGAGGTCATTTTCTAAGTTATTTCCTGGTGTCTCTTTAGAAGGTTCTATAAGTAGATTAAAAAGTCCTCGCTGGCCCAATGAGAATACTGGCTACTGAAGACTCAATCTCTAATTGATGCTTGAGGTGAAATAAAACTAAAATAAAGCTTAAGAGAGAACACTTAAGTCTTATGGGATTTATTTAGGCCCCTGGCAGGTTTACTTGAGGTAGTAACCCTTCCTTATCTACTGGCTTGGCATTAAAATAAAATTGATATTTTATTTCTGGGGGCTAATACCGGCCAATATTCTATAACTGTGCTATTGATAAGTAAAGACAGATAGTGATTTAGATGGGAAGAGGTTAACTATGAGTTACTTTTAGTCGCATTTCTTTAGTGGCCATTAGTCTTAAAAAGAGTTTTTAGATGATGACTTTATAATCATATTAAAGGAAGAGATGAGTGGGAACAGGGACATTGTGGAAGAAATAAAGTTCAATATGGTATGTTTTGTCATATCTGAGTAAATCATAATACATTTTCTATAGAAAAAGATATCCCTTCTAGGAAGTAAGAGACAATAACAGAATTTATTGAACGACACACAGAGTTTTATTTTACCAACTCAAAGTTTCAGCTTATCAAATAATAGTAGTTACCTCAGGGCTGCAAGGGACTGTCTCATTTTACTGTGTGCATTTACTGCCTGAATTTGTTGTAATGAGCATGTGTTTTGTAATGAAAACTTTTTTTCTAGCAGGCAACTCTCTCAGACAATTCACAGGAGTGTCTTGTCAGTCTTTATATTCTTTAGCATCTTAAACATTAAAACATTCTTTGAATTCAAGATAAGGACCTTGATACATAGAGCAAACTGAGCTGAGGACTGGAAGACTGATCGAGGGTGTTATGCAGAGGTTGCAGTCGGGAGCACAAGCAGACACTTGAACAAATTGCTGGACTGCCTTTGATAGAGCCTTTAGCTTTTGGACTTCCCTTCATGCTTAGCAAAGTGCACTGAGGAGAAGTATCTCTGGTGCACCAGTTTCTCTGAAATCAGGATACACTGCTACCCTTTGCAGCAGCTGCCTAGGATGCCTTTTGATCCACGGTTTTCCATCAGGTGGGCAAAAAGGACAGGGTCTGGCAGGATGCCTGTTGCTGATGCTAAGGTACCAGATGACTGGCCCTCCTTTTCTAAGTGCCCACTACTTTTAATTTCTGTTTAATTAAAGTTACATTTGTCAACAGTTCACATTAAGCTATAAGGACATATTTTTCTTCACAGTCTCAGGCAAGCAAACACGTGTCCTTTTTAAAGTTTATGATCCTAAAAATACATAGGGTACATTTGAACAGCAGAGCTCTAGACTGTTCCTTCGGATGATCCTGCTGTGATAAATGCGTTAGTGGACTGATTAGCAACCTAGGAGAAATCAAAGAAGGGAATACAAATTCACAAAATAATTTCTTTGATCCAAGAAGTACGTGACAGAACATAAACCAGATATATGCGCGCACATGTGGGTGGGTGGAGATCTCACACACACACACACACACACACACACACACACACACGGACTGATGGAGATTCCCATTGTAATCACTGCGAGCACTGCACTGGGCCGTGGCCACTGGCACACCAAGGACTCCTTACCCACGGGCCGAGCATCTGATAGCTGTACACCTGAGTCACAGCGGTGTGAGCATCTGGAAGTCTGGAAGAATTTCAGCTACCTTCCTACGGAGCTGCTCTCGCCTTTCTTCTTTTCCTCTTTCCTCTTTCGTAAATTTTGTAAACTTCTTCCATGTCTGAAATGTGATCCAGAGAATCCTCCTTTAAGAATAAAAAGGAAAAAAGTGAAATACGACAGAAAAGTTGACTCTCCATCTAACTGAATTACATACTTTACAAAAGTAATCCTTATGTGAATAAAATGTTATATGAAAGGTATGGAAATCACAATAGGGATTCAGACAGTAATGCTGCTGCAAAGAAAATGAAGCAACAAAAGAGGATGGAAGTGACTAATGGGTTATTTTTCTTTTCCATCAGGTGGTCTTCCATCACAGGTCACCCTCTGTGAGAAGGTGACACCTGAGCAGAGCACCTGGTGGCCTCTGAGTGCAGGCCATGAGATGTACTCCTCAGGGGGTCTGACCACAGCCTGCACCTTGTGTGTGAGGCAGGGCTAGTGGAACAAAGGCTCCAGCAGCCAAAGTCCTTGAGGTAGAGATGCTGGGAAAGCACATGCAGCACATTGCACAGTTATTAGCATCAAGGTCCTGGTGATTGGATGTGAATTGTTTAAAAAGCCCACTGGTAACCTCACCTCCAACAACGGTCTTGAATTTTTTTAGTTGAGGAAAAAAATATTAAGCCAGTTGTCTGCTGATGGGCCTTTGGGTTGCTTCCATGTCTTGGCTTTGTAAATTACGAACATTGCTGCTGTGAACATTGGGATGTATGTATCTTTTTGAATTAGAATTTTCATTTTTTTCTGGAGTGGGATTGCAGGATTACATGGTAGCTGTATTTTTAGTTTCATAAGGAACCTCCATACTGTTCTCCATAGTGGATGCACCAATTTACATTCCCACCAACAGTGTACAACGGTTCTCTTTTTTCCACACCCTCACCAGCATGTATTATTTGTAGACTTTTTCATGATAGTCATTCTGACTAGTGTGAGGTGACATCTTGTAGCTTTGATTTGCATTTCTCTAATAATTAGCAATGTTGAGCATCTCTTCGTGTGCCTGTTGGGCATCTATATGTCTTCTTTGGAAAAACGTCTGTTTAGGTCTTCTGCCCTTTTTTGGATTGGGTTGTTTTGTTTGTCTATATTGAGTTGCATGAGCTGGTTGTTTTGGATATTATCCCCTTGTCGGTCACATCATTTTCAAATATTTTCTCCCATTCTGTCCGTTGTCTTTTTGTTTTGTTGATGGTTTCCCTTGCTGTGCAAAAGCTTTTAAGTTTGATTAGTTCCTATTGGTTAATTTTTGCTTTTCTTTCTTTTGCCTTGGGAAACTGATCTAAGAAAACTTTGCTACCTTTATGTCAAAGAATGTTTTGCCTGTGTTCTCTTCTAGGAGGTTTCATGGTGTCATGTCTTATATTTAGCTCTTTAAACCATTTTGAGTTTACTTCTGTATATGGTGTGAGGGAATGTTCTAATTTCATTGATTTACATGTAGCTGTCCAGCTTTCCCAACACCATTTGTTGAAGAGACTGTCTTTTCTCCATTGTATATTCTTGCCTCCTTTGTTGTAGATTAATTGACTATAGGTGCATTGGTTTGTTTCTGAGCTCTCTATTATGTTCCATTGATCGGTAAGTCTGTTTTTTGTGCCAATACTACATTGTTTTGATTACTGTAGCTTTGTAGTATTGTCTGAAGTCTGGAAGGGTTATACCTCCAGCTTTATTCATTTTCCTCAAAATTGCTTTGGCAATTCTGGGTCTTCTGTGGTTCCATATAAATATTAGTATTATTCTACTTCTGTAAAAAATGTCATGGGTATTTTAATAGGGATCGCATTAAATCTGTAGATTGCTTTGGATAGTGTGGCCATTTTAACAATGTTAATTCTTCCAATCCAAGAGCACAGGATAGGTTTCCATTTCCTTGAGTCATCTTCAGTTTCCTTTATCAGTGTTTTGTACTTTTCAGCATGTAGGTCTTTCACCTCCTTGGATAAGTTTGTTCCTACATATTTTATTTTTTTGATGCGATTTTATTTATTTATTTTTATTATTATTATTTTTTGGCTGCATTGGGTCTGGCTGTGCTGGGTCTTAGTTTTGGCATGCAGGATCTTCGTTGTGGCATGCGGGGTCTTTTGTTGTGGCACACAGTCTTCTCTCTAGTTGTAGCGCGCAGGCTGCAGAGCATGTGGGCTCTGTAGCTGTGGCACGCGGGTTCCAGAGTGCGTGGGCTCTGTAGTTTGCAGCATGCGGACCCAGTAGTTGTGGTGTATGGGCTTAGCTGCCCCTCAGCATGTGGGATCTTAATTCCCTGACCAGGGATCAAACCCACGTCCCCTTCATTGGAAAGCGGATTCTCTACCACTGGACCACCGGGGAAGTCCCCTGATGTGATTTTAAATGGGATAGTTTTTGAACTTTCTGGTATTTCATTTTTAGTGTAAAGAAATGCAACAGGCTTCTGTATATTAATTTTGTATCCTGCTACCTTGCTGAATTCATTTATTAGTTCTAATAGTTTTGTGTGGAGACTTAGGGTTCTCTATATAGAGTATCATGTCATCTGCAAATAATGACACTTTTACCTCTTCCCCTCCAATGTGGATACCTTTTATTTATTTTTCTTGTCTGATTGCTGTGGCTAGGACTTCCAATACTGGGTTGAATAGAAGTGGTGAGAGTGAGCATCCTTGTCTTGTTCCTGAATTTAGTGGGAAGGCTTTCAGCTTTTCACTATTGAGTATTGTATTGGCTGTGGATTTGTCGTAAGTGGCCTTTATTGTTTTGAGATATGTTTGCTCTATACCCACTTTGGTGAGAGTTTCTCTCACGAATGGATGTTGAATTTTGTTAAATGCTTTTTCTGCATCTATTGAGATGATGTGGTTTGTTGTTCCTTTCGTTAATGTGGTGTATCACATTGACTGATTTGCATATGCTGAACCATCCTTGTGGCCCTGGAATGAATCCAGGTTCTCTATTTTGTCCGATATGAGTATTGCTACCCCCACTTTCTTGTTGTTTCCATTTGCTGCCCTTACTTTCAGTCTGTGTCTTTTGCCCTGAAGTGAGTTTCCTTTTTAGGCAGTATATTGCAGGTTCTTGGTTTTTTATCCAGTCTGCCACTCTGTGTCTTTTGATCGGAGCATTTAGTCTATCAGCATTTAAATTAATTATTGATACGTATGTACTTATTGCCATTTTAATCCTTGTTTTCCAATTATTTTTGTAGTTCTTCTTTGTTCATTTCTTCTTCTTGCTTTTACTTTTGTAGTTTGATGATTTTCTTTTGTAGCATATGCTTGATTCCTTTCTTTTTGGTTTTTGTGAATCTATTGGATTGTTTTTATTTGTGGTTAACATGGAGTTAAAGTATGTTGACCCATAAATACGTCTACTTGCTTTAAACTGATGATCTTTCAAGTTCAAACACATTCTAAAAGGTATCTACTTTTTTTTTTTTTTTTTTTTTTTTTTTTGCGGTACGCGGGCCTCTCACCGTTGTGGCCTCTCCCATTGCGGAGCACAGGCTCCGGACGCGCAGGCTCAGCGGCCACGGCTCACGGGCCCAGCCGCTCTGCGGCACGTGGGATCCTCCCGGACCGGGGCACGAACCCGCGTCCCCTGCATCGGCAGGCGGACTCTCAACCACTGCGCCACCAGGGAAGCCCCTATCTACGTTTTTATACTCTCCTCCCCCACGTTTTGTGATTTCGATGTCCTGCTTTACATCTTCATGCTTATCCTTTTATTGTTTACTGTAGTTATAATCTCTTATAACTGTAGGTATAATCTCTTATAATCTCTTATGTACTGGCTTATTTGAGTGATCTTCAGTCCTTAACTATATATTTGCTCTTCCTATTGGGATTTTCCCTTTCCTATGGATTCTTCTTTCCATTTAAGGAAGACCCTTCAACATTTGTTTTAGGTTAGGTTTGGTATTGCTGAATTCTTTTAGTTTTTGCCTGTTTGAGAAATTCTTTATCTCTTCTTCTATTCTAAATGATAATCCTGCTGGATAGAGCATCCTAGGTTGCAGGTTTTTCCCTTTCAGAACGTTGACTATAACACGCCACTTCCTTCTGGCCTACAGAGTTTCTGCAGGGAAATCAGCTGATAGCCTTATGAGGGTTCCCTTGTAAACAACTCTTTGTTTTTCTCTTGCTGCCTTTAGAATCCTCTCTTTAACTTTTGCCGCTTTAGTGGGTGGGCCAATAGGTTCGTTTGGTTTTTTCCATAAGATGGCTCTAGTAGCACTTATTTGTCTTTAACTTCATTCGAAACAATTTTGTTAGATTGGATGTGACAGCTGTCATATCAGCATGCATTTAAAAAAAGACATCAACATTGGTGAATTTTTATGTAGCCATTTTAATATTGAAGATGGAAGAAAAACAACATTTTTGGCATTTTATGCTTTATTATTTCAAGAAAGGTAAAAAAGCAACTGAAATGCACAAAAAGATTTGTGCAGTGTATGGAGAAGGTGCTGTGACTGGTCGAACATGTCAAAAGTGGTTTGCGAGGTTTCATGCTGGAGATTTCTCGCTGGATGTTGCTCCACGGTTGGGTAGACCAGTTGAAGTTGATAGCAATCAAATCAAAACAATAATTGAGAACAATCAACGCTATACCACGTGGGAGAGAGCTGACATACTCAAAATATCCAAATCAAGTGTTGAAAATCATTTGCCCCAGCTTGGTTACGTTCATTGCTTTGATGTTTGGATTCCACGTAAGTTAAGTGAAAAAAAACTTCCTGACCACGTTCCCACATGATATTCTCTACTGAAATGTAATGAAAACATTCCGTTTTTAAAACAAATTGTGACGGGCGATGAAAAGTGGATACTGTACAACAATGTGAAATGAACCGCCACCCACCACACCAAAAGCTGGCTTTCATGCAGAGAAGGTGATGTTGTGTATATGGTGGGATTGGAAGGGAGTCCTCTATTATGAGCTCCTTCCGGAAAACCAAACGATTAATTCCAACAAGTTCTGCTCCCAATTAGACCAACTGAAAGCAGCACTCAACAAAAAGCATCCAGAATTAATCAAAGAAAACGCATTATCTTCCATCAGGATAACGCAAGACCACATGTTTCTTTGATGACCTGGC